AATGGCACTGTACGGCTCCGACATGCTACCGCTAATGGCGGCACAGTCTACCAGACTTGGAACATAAGGTATTTACACCCATACAAGGCCTGATCCCCTTGTAGGATTGCCATCGTGCGACGCACATGTCTACATCCAATCTCCAGAGAGTGCCCCGCACATTAATTCATGCATATGTTCTCCTTGTTCGACTGATGTCGTGCCTTCTGTGACCCTTGTCAGGGGGCGAATGCAATACACGGCTCTTAGCCTTATTCGCGACTCGATCCTAGATAGGGTTTGAGTTCGACTTGTGACGTAGTCCCTCGCGAATAGTAGTCATTGAGACAGGGTTCTCATGACTGCTCGTCATACTAGGTTGTCGATGAAACATCGCTCTAGATATTTAGCATTAGCCTGCATGGAAAGCTTCCACGCTACTAGACAGCTACTAGCTGAAGTTTCCACGTGTTCCGGAATTGGACCGTGGAGTACGTAGAGTTATTACCATAACCTACGATATCACACTTCGAGGCCTCCCGCGGGAGACAAACTTCAATGAGCTTCACAACGATCTCTCTCATGGATTAGTTTTCGTAGCTTTCTAATCTCTCTCATAACTGTCATTCTCTCAAACTCAAAACACTCGAAGGATCTTTACACTAGCTTTTAGCATAGTGCACTGATTAGCGTTCACACACAGGAGCAGTCATGTCCTTGGGAAGTGGAGCGGTGTTGTCGGTGTCCGCGAAACAGAAGCTCAACTCAAGAAGCAGCACGGAAGCGGAGCTGATTGGAGCCGACGACGTGATGTCGCCTATGTTGTGGGCCAAGTTGTTCCTTGAGGAGCAGGGGATCGTTGTCAAGGACAACATCCTTATGCAGGACAACAAGAGCACTATCATTCTAGCCGAGAATGGAAAGAGCAGCTCCATCAGGAAAAAGGACTCGGGCCATCAACATTCGTTTCTTTTTCATACATGATCAGATTGAAAAGGGCAACCTCAGAGTTGTGTTTTGTCCCACCTTGGAAATGCGTGGAGATTTTTCTACCAACCCCCTTCAGGGCAAGCTCTTCCATGAGCACAGGGCCTTCATCATGGGGCATCTGCCTCTTAATTTCCCAAATCATTTATTCGTTTCACGGTAGCCATTAAGGCACTGTGCAGGAGTGTGTTGGAGGATACTCAAACAAGATTACTCTTAAGGCAACGACGCCTGTCCGAGACTACATTTGGCAAGATCGATAGCGGCAACCATGAATCACTAAAGCCAGCAACCTAGCCAAGACCAGCCTTTGAACTGCCGATCGCAAGAAGGTTGTCTCTCTCTCAGCTCACAATTCTTCATTCAGCTGACGCTGAAAGCAAGAACCTAGATTAGATTAACCCACCTCTCCCTCCCTGGTTGCACGACTGAAGGCTGTCCTGTGGAACATCACATTCCCGGGACTCCCTTCCGCCATGTGTGATCTATCCGGGACTCCCCAGTCCCGAATGGAACCCCGGGGATTGGAGATGGTCGGCTCAGTAAATGGCCGAGTTTCTCCACTCACCTAATCCTCTACTAGTCGTGTCTAGCTGCTCTGGGCGAGCGCAGCTTGTTTGCGCTCGTGGCAAGACGGGACATCGGGGTGATGGGGAACAGTGTGATGCCCCATACCTTCCCGACAATGTCTGGTCTCAGCTATCCAGCAATGGACGGCAGCTTTGGTACAAGCTCTCTGTCGCTGACAAGAGAGTCTTGGTGGAAGCACACCGCCGTCAAGCCCGGATGCCTGACCTGGTGGATCCGAAGAGCAAAGCTGACCCAGCAGTCGGGATGCCTTAGATCCTCCAAATGACAATGCGGGGCCTGCAGCCTCCAAGGGCAGGTGCAGGACCAATGTGTATTTTTGCCGGGGCAACTAGTGTTTGTGTCGCACTGGTTGAGCCCAAGAGACCCATGCACGGGCCATGGCTGTAGGGTAGCATGCCACCCTCATAGGGGCTACTACATGTACTTTCCGCATGACATGGCACAGTATGACAAGAAGTGTTTGTGCTAGCCTTGTTATCTCCAGGATAGTGTTCCAAGTACAATGTTTTGTGAAGACATGTTTTGGTGACTCCCCCCCTCCCGCCCTGATGGCACTCCCTTCACTTTTGGGTGATGAGAAGAATTTACAGTGAGTCACCCTCAACGAAGGTGAAGCAGTCAGGTTGGAGCAACAACCACCCAAGCTGATAGATGTGGAATGAGCTACTGTCATGTCATGTGATAGGATCTGTACCGGTCATACCTAAGCAAGCACCAAGTTAGTCGCGTCTCTGGACAAGATTCTTTTGAAGAACCCATGTAAGGAGATGGTAGACTTGACTCGGAGGAGACATCTGCGAGGTGTTGCCTCTAGCCGAGGCAATATCTGATGATCCAGTAGGACAACCAATCCCACCTCCTAGGATGACAACTTTTCACCTAACTACAGTCGTACCCAGTTGAGGGCTCCAGGTGAACAGTTATGGTCAAGATTGTTCTCACTGGTCCTTATGGGGAGACAGGCAGATATCTCCTAAGCCAATGAGCTGTGATGCAAGTATGGGGAGACTAGGTAGGATCCCAATTGACGGTCAAATGGACCAATGCCAGTCAATGCACCCTTTCTCTCCTGAATACGACTGGAGGTTTGAAATCACAAGCCGATGTGATGCCCCTCCCAATGTTTCAAGTGGTACTCAGCAACGTCCGGAAACGGCCTAGTTTCACGAGTCGTGAAACTGTAGTTTCAATTTCACATTTTTAGTTTCACGGAAACGTGAAACTACAGTTTTAGTTTCACAGGTGTGAAACTAGTTTCACGAATTTGTGAAAATCCACCGTACAAGTCTACACAGTTTCACTACTAGTTTCACAGGAAACTAATTTCACGTTTTTCCGTGAAACTAGTTTCAATTTCACACTTGTGAAACTAGTTTCACGAGTCGTGAAACTGTCAAAATCTAATCAAGTCATGATTCCGGACCTTGCAGCAATGGACACCTTGATGTATTCAAGAGGGTTGGTAACCTCTGAGGTAAGCGACCAAAGTCCACACCGAGAAGTCAGATGCTCCCAGTTCATGGAAGTGTCGAGGGAAGCCCCATGATGTGCAAGCTTGTTGGCACCCCATCCATGACTCCAGTGGTGGGGAGGGTGTCGAGCAGCAGCAATACCACTCCTCTCACATTACAGACTCTTAGTTTTGTTGATTTTCGTCAATTAGTCAAATATGATGTTGAGAGGTGTTGAATCGTTTTTTATTAAATGTCAACAAAATAAAACTGCCAAGGGTAGCAGCGCGGCATTCTCGAGAGGTATCTACCAGGGTTCGCTAACCTGATATATTAGGTTACCGGTTACTTCCAAAAGAACCGGTAACCGGAACCTGATAAAGTAACCTTTACACTAACCTGTTAAAAAAATTCTATCAGGTTAGTAACCGATACACTAACCTAATACGATCTTGTATCAGGTTAGTGTACCGGTTACTTACCAGGTTTTCTATCAGGTTACTTTTCACCGTTTTTGGGGCCATTTTCCTCATTCCGCAGTAGATTAACCCTTGGTGGCACTACCACTGAAGACCCACGCCTTCCAGTTGTCAAGGGTAACTATCTCTGTACATCTCTCGTTATCCAACCACCTCTCTCTGCATTGTCAAGGTAACTATTCTGTACCTAGCACCCTCGATTCCAGTTGACTAACCCTTGGTGGCACTACGAGTCGTCATGGGTGACTATCTCTGATGCCTAACCACCTATCAACTATCATCTAACTAACTAACAAGGCAAAACACCTTATATACAGTAATAGGTAACTTACTATGACAATACCAGGTTACTTTATCAGGTAACCTACAGGTTACCTGATAAATACCTGACACTAACCTATACACTAACCTACTACAAAAATTCTATCAGGTTAGTAACCTATACACTAAGGCCGCTCTCTACCGGAGGGACTAAGTAGCGACTAAGCCATATTTCGTAGTTAGTCCATAGTTTAGTCTCCGGGGTGGTGTCTACCCAGCCACTAAACGTCCCACGGACTAAAGGGTTTAGTCACAAAGTTCGTTCACCGACTAACGGAGGCTGGTTAGTCGGTGAGCGAACATAACGACTAAAGCTTCTTTAAGAACTCTTTAAGAATGAATGAATGAATCTTCAACAGCCTCATTGCACAGCCTCAACAAGAGAGGCAGCTACTGCCCAACAAGGAAGCGAGCGTAACGACTAAAGCCTCTTTAAGAACGAATCGAATCAGCCTCATTGGACAGCCTCACTATCAGAGCATCGCGACAGAGCTGATAGAGTAGAGGTGCAAAACAATACGACTGCACACCGAGTTGGATAACAAATTCCAACAGGATTACCACAGAGGTGCCTTCGTGGGAGTTCCGAACGATCGAACCATGGAACCATCCAAGAGGTGCAAACGATCGAACGATCGAATGATGAGTAGTAGAGGTGCAAAGGAGAGGTGCATGGCAATGGTGTGTTTTGAGTCTTGTTATCTCAGTCTTGTTATCTCAAAAAAGTAATCACTTCTGTTAAGTCTTTGTTTGAGTCCTTTAATCCCTTCTGTTAAGTCTTTGTTTGAGTCCGTTACATCTTTTTTGAGTCCTTTAAGTCCAGTAGTGTTCCGTTTAGTCATTTGCTTTAGTGCTGGGTAGACAGGTCCAAATGACTAAAGAACTGACTAAATTGTTTAGTCCGAGATTTAGTCATCTGCTGGTAGACACCACCATTACTAAAGGATAATGACTAAATCTTGAACTAAACAACCACCTAAAGGTTTCCTTTAGTCGCTACTTTAGTCCCTCCGGTAGAGAGCGGCCTAACCTAGTGCAATTTTCTACCAGGTTAGTGTATAGGTTAGTAACCTATTCCTCAAATCTATCAGGTTAGCGAACCCTGGTATCTACTGTCTGCAAGGTTCTTAACTACAAGGGTCAAACAAGAATCTATGATTTCCCCTCTTTTTTAAAAATATTTGCCTACCAGCTACCAGCTGCCAGCAGAGTCTATGCTGTGCCCCCTATTTCGCTTGAGTACTTCAGTTGTTTCATCATGAGGAGAATTTACTATTCCCACAAAAGAATCCATCACCTCCAATTCATTGTCATCTTCTCCTTCTCCCCACACCTCTTTGTCGTCCTGTTCATTCACTGACTCCTCATTGTCATCTTCATTGACTTGGTTTGCCACGGGTTTTTCCAACAATTCAGTGCATTCTTCACTCCACTTTCTGTAAAATGGTTTCACATAAGTGTGTGATAGCTCCAGGAGCAAGGGATCAAAGGGGAAGAAACTCTTCAAGGGGTTAACGGCCTTGTTCAGGCTCAACCCATGCACACAACTAGTTGCAACAGCACCCCCAGCTGCATTGAAAGCTTCCTTATTGTGGGGTAGGTATGCAGCGGACAACTTTGCCACTGCCACTCTATTAAGCAACCCAAAAGCAGAAGCAAACTTCAGAAATTCACATCTCACAGACTCAGCGCAGTACATCATCGGCTGTAGGCTGTGCCCACACAAATGTTGCCACCGACTTGGACCAATGTCAATATGATGTAACTGTAGATCATTGAAGTGTCCCGGGGTGCTTGTTGTGATTGTTTTTGTGACTGAGCGATAAAACTTCATCACCTCTGGACCACGGAAGCACATGATGTAGAAGGCTGCTTGGCAAATTGTGTAGAACAGTGAATGTATGTCAATGCATTGATCCCACACATCCGCAGAGGTTGTTAATCCATTCTCTTGAACTGAAGCGATGTAAGCATTTGCCCACTTGAGAAGGGCACAAACTGATTCGATGGCTGTGTCTGCTTCCACAAACTTGGCACGACTGACAAATGAAGCCAGGTAACATGCTGCACTTTGCCTGACCACAGTAGACCGATATGGATCGAACGTGATTTTGATCAGATCAGCTGCAAAATCATGGTTCAAGGTGGCATGTTGTTGCATATTTCCCTCGAGTAGTTGGCTTTCCAGACCGCAAATGTAGAAGATCAAGAATTGGACAAACTTTGACTGGTGCGTTATCAAAATGGCTGATTCAAAAGAAGCCATGCAGCATTCATACAACGACCTCAATCCACCAATGCTGCCTGCCCCTTTAGCCTCTACGAACTGAAACGTCAGCAGCAGTAGAGCATCCAACTGCACAGCGGAAATGGAATCAGTCAGTTGTAGCACAATGCTGACTTGTCATATTCCATCTAGCATCATACCTTTTCAATCATGTCATAAACATTGTCATCTTGCCGGCGATTGGTGTGGGTTACAGAATCCATCATAATTTGATCAAGACTGAGAGCTCCATCATTCTCTTCCCTGACAACCTTTCCTCCACTCAAAACTTTGATTTCAACGTCCATTTCCAAACACTTCTCTATCATAAAGCGTAGCAAAAGTTCATTCATTGCGGGCACATACTCGGCAACCTCAAGACTCTGGCGATAGCACCAGACGAGTTGATGTTTAGGTCTCGTTTTAAACGGGAAGTTTGTCATAATGATAGTGACGATTTCGTTTTTACCCTTGGGGCACAACATAGTCATCGCCGCAATAGTGGCATGTATTCGTTGCGTTCTACAGGGCGAAAACGATTACATGAGACTTTGGGATACGGTATGCTCGAGGCTTGATACAATTGTAGTCGTACCGGTGCTCCTTGGAACTGTCCGACAGGGAAGTCCTTGAGAGGCCAGCAAGAAGTTTCCACAGAGAGGTCTAAACCCAGCCAGCGAAAAACGATGTTAGTTCTGTTCGATGGACATGAGTTGGACAAATAAAATGGGATGCAACAAGGAAGAATGTAAACAGCTCACCATCGAAGTCACCAAGAAAACAGAGTTTGCAGAAACCAAAGCCAGCATCAAATGGAAGAAAGCATCTGCTATGGAAAAGTCGTGAAAAGGGCGGTTTGCCTCGTCTAGTGCAGCTTGTTCGCTGAGTCTGAGTCTTCCCGGATCAAAAGGATTGAACTGGATAATGTTATGCAATAACTGTGCATGCTTTGCTGGATTCCCGCTGAGAAGGTGTAGGGTATTTCCGGAGACACGTAAGGCGATCAGTATTGTACGCAATAAGGACGGGTCTTCTTTTCGACTGATAGCCCTCACGAGACGACTGTAAGCCTCTGCTTGTTTTGGATCTGGATCAACTGGAGGTTGGGTCCGATAGGTTACAGCGTCCGAAACGAACTTGATTATGGATGCATCGCTCTTGCGCGGCGGACCACATGGAGGCAACTTGTAGTAAGAGGATCCTTCTTCCTTTGCCAGCGGAGATATTTGTATAATGTCGCCTTCAGAAGTCTGTGGCGAGATGGGTAGAGTTTTGTGAGCTGTTGGTGTTTGTGTTTTCTCGGCTCCCTGCATTGTCACAAGTGCACAAGTGGGGTACAAGCTTTGCGACAAGCACAGTCTTTCCCTATATTCTTCTGGCTGTCTTCTTCTCCGCTAATGGGTTTGAGCCTCCGCCTATTGCTCTGTTGTCGCAAAAACTCAGAGCCTGTGTCAACTTCTCGCCTCGTCGCCTAATGCTGTCTCAAAAGGGGACGCTGGGAGTGTTTGTGTTCTTGAGCGTAACTACTGTACTAATACTGGTAGCTAGCTAGTCTACTAGTACCCATGTTTCGGTCCGATGTATTGTGCTGTACGGTGTGTGGTTCGAAGGCCAGAAACGGACGAAGGACAGTCCTCACAGCACGATCTGGCCAGCTATTAATAGCTACCGTAGTCTAGCTAGCTAGCTAGCTAGTAGTAGTAGAGTGGGACGCGGACTCGACTCGACTCTTGGTAAGGCCCGGGCTAATGAGGGACCCGCAATTCGGCAAATCCAACACATGTAAATCTTTCCTGAAATTGTAGGCATCATCCAGCCTACTCGAATAAACAAGCATACGCTGCCCCTCCAGCACTCAGCGCCAAAGCCAATTTCGATGGGGCGCATACCGGTATACCGTACAACTTCGGGAAAGGTTTGTGGCTTAGCCTGCAGTTATGATGTAGTATCTAGTGTGATCAAAGAAAGTACCGGTAGTTCGGCCTTGCCATTCGTTGTTGGATGAATTAAGTTGTAGATGCTCCGCCTTCTTACTCGAGTTTTCCTCCCTTGTACATCTCCTTGTCTGAGAGTCCAACCATCTTCTTGGAGTAATCCCACATCATTTGAGCAGTCTTCTCATCTGAAACCGCATTAGAGTATTCATTCTCGAAAATTTCGCCTCCCGAACCACCTGCTCCTCGGGGCTTGCCGTCTGGGCTCCAACGACCCACTGTCTTGGCACCACCATTCCAGCTCCAGTAAACACCAGATTTGGTGCACTTTTCATCGTCAATGACTTGAGCCAGACGTTCTCCAGCTTCCTCTTCGCTAACATATCCACCTGTCACGTACTTCATGAAAGCTGGGAAGACCTGCAGAGGAAAAGCGGCAATCAGGGTTGGTTAACTGCATTATGGTGCTTTCCCCCCTGTTTCCAGACAATTTCAATCTCGCTTACCTTGCGGAACCAAGTGCGCTTTTCGCGGAAAAGAGCTGTCTCGGCAATGCAGCCAGGGTACATGCTGGAGAAAACAATGCCTGTATCATCGTGGTACTTGCGGTGAAGTTCCGACACTGTCATCATGTTGCAAACCTATGAAGAAATGGAGATTGAAATTGTGTTTTGTTGGTTCTCTTTTTCTGTTCTTGGGCACAAGCTGTGTCACAGTTTAGATTGGTTTGATTTGTGCTCACCTTGGAATCTTTGTATGCCTTGGCTCCGAAGAAGGGTTTTCCATCAGCCATGGAGACTGGTTCTTTGCCACCTTTCTCGAACCCTTGAAGGTCTCCAAGGTCAGCGAAGGGATACACCAAGCCACCTCCGACAGTGTTGGTGTTTCCTGTGATGGAACCGACAACGCAACACCTAGCGTTCTTTGCCTTCGCCATGTCATCGACAAGTAGATTCAGAAGCAAAAAGTGTCCCAGATGGTTAACTCCCATGCTCATTTCGAAACCATCATCTGTCCATGCTGGAACGGGATCGGTTGGTCTGTACACGGCAGCATTGCAAATAAGGTGGTTCAAGGGTCGAGCAGACTTGAATGCCTTGAGGTTGGCAACAAAATCACGAACGCTCTTAAGATTTCCCAGCTCGAGTTTCATAGTGACGTAAGACCCTTCAGGGAAACCATTTTCCTGGGCGACTGCAAGAGCAGAAAAAAAGGAAACAATCGAACGTTCATGTTAGAATCAAAGTCGCCATTCAAATGTACTGGTACCGACAAGAAGCTATAATTCCATACATACCTCTTTTTGCCTTTTCCACGTCTCTGCAGGCCATGACAACAAAATACTTGCCGGTCCTGGCCAAAACCTTGGCAGTTTGGAGGCCAAGTCCGGAAGAGGCTCCTGTGACCACCACCAATTCTCGGAGTCCAATCTTCAGGCCTCCCAGAACTTTAGGTGTTTCCTTCTGCTTGGGGATATACAGCTTCTCAGGAAGTTCAGTTCGCTCAAGGACTGCCGAGAGTCCCGTGGAAGAGCCAACTGCAGCATCATATGTCATTGGCAATGTCTTCTGGCCAACAGCTCGATCCATTGAGGGCACAAAGCCGCTCACACCAACGAGAGAGAACAAAAGAGCGAAGAGACGCATCATGATGATTGATAGTCCAGGTTGTCAATACTGAGGGAAACAAAGCGAAGAAAACACAAAGAATGGGAGGAAAGAGGGTTGCGTCTTGATTTTTCTTCTTTCTTCGTTTGTGATGGGTTTTTCTTGGTTTTGGCTCCGTCACCCGGATGCAACCTTCCTTGACACTCAAACCTTCAACCAGGACTGAGATCGGGACTGAACGGGTTCCAGCTGGAAGTTAGGGATAGACCCACCGTCGATTTGCATCAATTTTGCAGTTTGGCCGGCTTCTTAGAGGCCACTGAACTGACTGCTGACTTGCCGCCACTGGCCGAAGCGGCACGGTCGTCGGTCGCATCAAACAATGCCACAACGACGACAAACGGCAATCATCGATCGATCACATCAATCTATCTCACTCATTCCATTGGCCCTGACATAGATGTATGTTGCAAGCGGTTTAGCTAGCTAGAGTACTGGTACATCCATCTGCTTTGTAAGGAAAGATGAAGGCTTCTTTGCGGCTGAGCCAAACGGCTCACTACTCCCCCAAGAAGGGCCCTCCAATGCTGCTCGATCACGACCGCCGCAAACGAAAGCGGCAAAAGACTGATGAGCAGAGGCCTTCTATTGCCCGGGCTGGTGCTGCTTCAGGAAGAGAGAAACACTCAACGCTTTCGGATTCTCTGACTGGTGGCAGCAATATCCCTTCTTCCCAGTTACCAGAAGGATTTCCGAGAGAACTCGTCTTTCGATCTCTGGCTGCTTACTCGTTTTTGCGGACTCTGAGCCGAGAGCTGCGTCTGTCGCCCTTTACGCCCAACGCATTTCTGCGAGCGCTCTCTCTACCAATTCCAACCAAACTTTTGGGACAAATACACTCCAGCCTTCTTAGAATCCTTCTGGCCAGTCTTAACATGGGGTACCACTGCAAACCAAATGGTAACAATATTCCTTCTCTTGTTTTCAAGAAGAGAAGGGTAGATGGGATTCGATGGCCACTCAGGGCGGGGGACAACTTGACGTTCATGGATAACTTTACCTGGCCTTTGTTCTTTGACGATTATGTTCACCTCACTGCTGATGTTCTATGGGCCAGCCTCAATGATGAGGATAATCACGTTGACTTCAAGAATATTGGTATGCCAGATACTACCGGAATGCCAACGGAGGATTTCGAATCGGACGAAGAGGAAAAACAAAGTTTTGATGACGACGAAGAGGATTCACGCATGAAAATACCGGCAAAAGTTCTACAATCCGTGGGTGGAGCTACGTCCAGATCCAAACGCAGGAAAAAAAAACACAAGAACCATTCTTATGTCGAAGCCGACTCTGATGATGATAGCTTCTCGGATCAACCAGTAGACGACGACGATGAAGAATTTGAGCAGAACTCTCGCCGATCAACACGCAAAACCAGAAAAAAAACTGCGACAACAAAAAGGTCCATGGTATTGCCGCTGCACGGACACAGACAAGGAGCTACTATATTCAAACAAACCACTCGTCCCATCCACTCTGCGGCATCGCTGCCACGTGGGGCTACATCGTATGGTTCTGGAAGATCACCTGGGGTCATTGGGACTGGTGTCGGGTTTCAGGTGCACAATGGCATGGCAAACAGAGCAAACCTTTCTCCGTCTATTAACAACAACAATGGTTCCCCAAAGAAACGACCAAGACCGTTACCTACGGCAAGTCGGGCAAGAAAAAACTTGTTGCCACTACAAAAGAGCTCACCGTCAAAGCGAAGTCCCGCAACATTATCACAAACCTCTGGTGGCCCGCCCATGAAAACGGCAAAACTATCTCAGTCCGGCTCCAAGGTAGAATGGGTAGAAGGGCCCATGATGCCCCAGAATATTGGACCGAACCAGCATGCTGCAATGGCTTGTGCTATTGGTGCTTTGATCCCGAACGGAAATTCTCTGGTTGGCCTCGGCTTTCAAATGAACCCAAACGTTAACATACGGAACTTGGCAGCCCAGTTGGCAAGACCAAGTCTTCCTCTAGCTGCGCAAATGGCTTCCTTCGTTCCGGCAACGCTGGCGTCAATGCAACAGTTTCAAAACGCATCAACGCAATTTGCAACGCAACAGCCCCTTGAAAGTGCACAGTCGGGCCTTCAAGTGCCTGCAACGCAAAAGCCAAAGAACACTTCCGTCAACAACAACAACAACAACAACAACAACAACAACAACAATGTGCTCCCTAGCTGCTTGCATGATTTTATTGCCGGAAAGCATTTCATCACAAAGCCATCCATGGATGTGACGCAACAATCGACTCCTGCAGCTTCCTTCTATGGAAGTACTCCCATTGAGGTTTCAAAGGCTCAATTGAAGGTTCCAGCTGCCAAATGTCATTCCAGTGGCGAGACAGTTTCTGCAGAATCCCCGCTGCCACTATTATCTTCGTCTCCAAGGGTTGCACTAGAGGCTGAACAAAAACACAACGCAGGAAATACAAGCAAGGAATCGTCTTCGGTGCCAGCACCAGCACAATCCTCCAATGGTGCCAATGGCTCGAATATTGAGCAATGCCTTGATGTAGTATCCAGCGTTGATGCTGTGGCTTCGGCACCGACAACCCTGCAGCCTTCGACTCAAGCAAGCACTGCTTACGCTAAACAAGAAAGCGACGCGGCAACCCTACAGACACCTGCGGTGCGTGCAGAAAGCCAAGACTCGAAAGAGCGTTCCCAGCATGCGCCTGCTATAGCAGTCCCTCCGAATTCAGCCGCTGTCAAAAGCTGTGATTCCCATTTGGATCGCGTCGCCAGTGGCAGTAACGATGCGCTTCCGCAACGAACACCTCCGCTCGCTGTCGAGGCCAACATTGGAAAACCTGCACAAGTGGGAAGTGTTCCGGCTGTGACAGCTCATGATGGGAAACAGGATGAACGCGCTACTAAATCCCCAAAGGAAGGAAATTGGGACTTCACGAGCACGACGAAGTCGGCGGACCCAATTGTGACCAAATCATCACCGGCTTATGCTGACGACGAGGAGCAGTGGCCCCACTTTGGGCCAGTGAAGACGATGCGTTCAGGGGTTCCGTACCACCAATTGCACATTGAGGAAAAATTGATCATTATGGAGTACCTAATCGATGAAATTTTAACGGTGAACACGATCTCGGGAGAGTTCCTTCGAAGGAGTATAAAGGCGTTTGGGAGACGACCTTATGGGTGTCTTCCGTCAATTGAGGATTTCGAGGTGCTAGACAATCAAGACGAATGTTCCATTTGCAGTGGCGAAGGTGAATTGCTGTGTTGCGATGGCTGCGTAGGCAGCTACCATCGCGGCTGCATTGGAATGAAACCGAACGAGGTTCTTCCAGAGGGAAGATGGCTTTGCCCCGAGTGTAACTTGGTAGATTCGGCAAAATTTGGGGATCTGACAGGGGGGAGGAAATGCTCGCTAGACTGGTTCACGATGTCGGACATCAAAGCTGCACTTCGGACCGGAAAGGCAAGGCATTTTGGTCCAGAAGCGCCTGCAGAAAGCGAACGCACGAGCGGGCTGGTTGAATCAGTTGACGCGATGTCGCGGCACGTGACACTATCAAGCCAGCCAGATGCAACGAACCCGATAGGTTGGGCCAAATCACACGGCGAATTTGATAGTGCGCCCCTCGTGGACAGTACGGAACTGCCATCGTCTGTTCCCAGCAGAAGTGGTGACGTAGACAAGGCAGTGGTGCCGGTGTCGATTGGTACGGGTGATGCAAAAGAAAGGGCCATGAAACAAAAGTTTATGGTCGTTCACGGCTTCGTATTAAGGCGTCGCAGCAGCGACGACCACGATCAACGACCCGACTCCTTCGCAGACTTCGAGCTCATGACCGAGGAAAACCTTGGCAAACTTCTCAAAATGTTTGGTACTGGCTTGGGGTTGGCCTGGCCGTTTGCACAAGTTCCACTTAGATCCGTGGGAGATATCAGTCCAGCAGTTGAACGATCCATGCTGCACCCAAAGGTATTAAGTTTGGATTCAAAGGAGAGCTATGATCCATCATGCTACAACAGCAAGTACAGGAAAGCACCCCTTCAGAAAAACATGCTGGGAAGTGGCTTTCAATCGAACCAATTGGTGCTCTCGGACTTCGAAACCTCCTGCCACAGTTGCAACGTTAAGAGAGTTTCCGACCGACTATCTTCAAGTATGACTGGCGACAAAAGTTTGTCACAGTCACTTAGGAAGGAGACCAGTCTTTTTGACCCTTATCAAATGATTCGGGATTATCTTCTGAAGGTCGAGCAAATGTTGAGCAGAGCTCACCTGCTCGATCCTCGATGGGGGACACGTAACAAGAACCTTCAGGCCAACGTTTGGAGAATGAACATGAGAAATTGCAAGTCTGTGCCGCGGCTTGCAGGATTGTTGTTACAGCTTGTCGACGCGTGTCATCACCGTGCATTCCTTGTGCAGTGGTTTGCAAACGCAGGACGCAGTAAAGAATCAGAGGCTGCTCACTCTTCCAATGAGACAGATACGAAATTGCTTCCGCTGACTTCGGACTGGACACTGGAAGCAGAGAAGAGGAAACGACGATGGGAGCGCTGTGCGATTGCAAACGTACGAACTCTCTTGGCAGAGGAAGGCCATGATATTGCAGATTTGGTGTTTGGCGATGATCCTGAGTTTCAACGTGATAGAGCTCGCCATCGACGCAAGAGGAAGCAGCAACTACATTCCAGTCGCCCTCCAAATGCCAGCAAGTACTCATCGTTGGGAAGCGGGGCCCACTGCGTTACCATTGAAGATCTAGGCGACGCGAAGGGGGCTACTATTGCGAGCCCAAAGGTTAGCGCCGCTGTTGGTTCCGCTAAAGCAACGTGGAGGGGGGGCATTGGACCTACACAAAGCAGCACGAAGTCTGCTGATGGCTCGAGGAAGAAACGCGGCGATAGTGAACCCCCCATTGTGATGCCTTTCCAACGTCTACAGCAGGCTATTGATCGAAGGGTGACAAAAGGGATCCCTAACGATCCGCAAGCCATGTCGCCTGGTCAGAAGGATGGCTCTACGGAAGGAAAGGGCTCTGGCCAGGCTTCCAACTCACGCCGATCAAGACGTTCGGGTCGGCTGCAGACAAAGAAGGAATCTGCGGACGATTTCCTTGCAGAGACGGGTAAGGCACAGAGTTCCTTGTCAATGGAGACTGTTATCGAGGCACAAAAGATGGCCAAGCTAGTGGATTTGAAAGAGATGTTTTCCGTGCCTGCAGCCATCACCGGGCTATGGCCGGTGTGCGGGAGAATGTTGTACGATCCAATTGGCAGCGTATCTCGAGCAGAGATGAGGAGACTTGGAAGAAAGGGGGGGATCGTTATGGCTCAACATGTTAGCTATTCCGGTTCTTACGAAGTCGGGGAAGTCTCACATTTTCATGTGTGGCGGAAGAAAGCAGAAAACACTGCAAATTGGGAAGAGCTGCTTCTCCTTGTTCGCGGGCTAGAATCGTACCTTGACAAGAGCACGATTAGCTCTTGTGAGGCTCTCGCCAAACGCACACCATCCACGAGGGCTCAAGTTACAAAGGTTTTGAGCGGTGCGCAGAAGGATCTCTTGACAGGCTCTGGCAACTACTTTCTTGTTCAGAAAAACAAGCATAAAGGTATTTGGGTACCTGCTGCATCGATTGAATTGTCCCCGTTCATGGTTGCACGAAGCGAGCAGCGTGAAAAGCAACAGAATCAGTTCCAGCAGAAGTTGAAAGAAAAGATGATGGCCGAGTCCAAAGCCAAGGAGGCAGCCAGGTTAGTTCAATTTTGGTACAGTCTGGATCGATTCTTTTGTTTTGGTTTGCTCACCTCAGCATCTCGGTTTCCAGGTTAAAAGCGGCCGCGGAGGCTGCTGCTCGGACTCAAATGTTGATGCGGGAGCAAGCCGCTGCTCGGGTGAAGGCTGCGAAGGAGCAAGCTGAAGCCAGAGCCAGGGCAACCAGGGAAAGAGAGGAAGCAAGAGCTGCTGCCAGGGCTGCAAAGGAAAAGGCCAAAGCCGAGAAGGCGGCCGAGAAGGCTAGGGCTAAAGCTGAAAAGGAGGCAGTAAGGCAAGCAGCCCTTGCGGCAAAAGCAGCTGCCGCAGCCAAAGCTGCTGCCGAAGCCAAAGCTGCCGCCGAAGCCAAAGCTGCCGCCGAAGCCAGAACCGCTGTGATTCACTCGCAAAACAACGCAACACCTCAGTCAAGAGGGACAACGGACCTGCAGCAAGCAACTGTCCGACTACTCGCAGCCCACACGGTAGCTACACAACAACTCATTCGCAATTCGTGTAAATCTGGTCTAAAGGTTGTACCCGAAAACGAGATCAAAAGACAACGTATGAAGACGGCAGAGCAGATCCAAGCGTTGTACCCAGGCATGCAAATCAAAGGGGAAATACTGTTTGCTCAGCTTGCAAAAGCCGAGGCGAAGGCAGTGACGGCCGAGTCTGATGTGAAAGGTCAGAATCATCAGCGTTCGACCGATTCGAGTGGCGCGGCAAACAGAGGCCACCAATGGCATCAACGTCAACAGAAAGGGCAATCGACAGTTTTCCACCATCATGGGTCCTCCGAATATTCTGCTCAGAGACATGGGATGTCGGCTCTGACCAGTAACGCCGCAAATGGCAACCACGAGGTTGGGAACCAAGCTCAATATGAATCACGACATTCGTCCTTATCAAGAGCCCATGGTGCGATAGAGGGACATCGCGTACGCGTTGAACACCACACTTCCAGGCAGCATTCAAATGTCGATCCCGCAAAGGCGCAAGGGATCGCGGCATCGGCATATCCTTTTGGTAACGCGCCACAAAGGACGTCTGCGGTCGGCCAAGAACCAACCCAAGGGATGAGTTCTGGAACCTCCTATTTTCAAAGCCACAGTTCTGCTGCAAGCACACCGAATCCAGTTACCCACCAGAACGTTGCGCGACAATTGGATGCGATCAAGACGTCACATCGCCACGACGGTTCCGGCAACATCGGATGGAGTGCAATCACGCACAACCGACAGGGCGCTTACCCTCACAATCGGCAGGCTGCTTATCCTCAAGCCATGCGAGGTATGTAATGCACCAATCGAGCGTTGATACTGTATTCTCTTCTTTTGTGGATCTTATGATTTCTTTGCATGCTTATTGTGTCAAGGTGGAGTGGGCAATCAACGAGGAGGGGAACATATCAGTCACCACATGTACGGAAGCCGGCATGGCGGCGTCGGAAATGATGTGACTCAAGACCGGTTAGGGGGACTTTCGTTGTTGGCTAATAGGGGTTTGCATGACTACCAGCTGCAAGGGTCCACAGGCAGGCCCTCACATCAACCCACAGATCTCACAAACTCTTACAGAGGTCTATCTGGCGGGACTGCATCGGATACTAATCGATTGCTGCATAATTTGGGTGGCGCGCAAGCGTTCACAAACCACAACAACAGCCTTCGTCTGAACGGCGCGAATGGATATCGCCATGACGTGCACAGCCTTAGAAACAGGGGGCGAGAACTCTCACCCCAGCCACCGTATGATCTGGAACCGACACCAATTGCGGAGCAGCAGGGTGTGACGATGCAGAACTCAGCGAGTGCTTATGGGCACGGACAAATCCCTTCTCTTCAGCGCCCATCCAATCCTCAACCTCATCCACACCAACAACCAAACCAGCATTTTCAGTGGTTTCAAAGATGAGCTCCTTCTAAAGGAAAAAGGGTGGATCTGACGTGCTACATGGGAGTACTGTAATGTGCTAGCTATAGCCGCATTCGCCTCATCTTGCTACTATTTCATGTAATTGATGATCGAAGGAGAAACTCGCAATCAGTGTTGTGGTTGTAAACCAGACGTACCGATAGCATCCACTTTGTACCATGGTACCGGTACTGGTCCCTTGCCAGTGGTCCAGTCTTACGACACCCTCTCTCTTAGCACCAATTTTTACTGTATGAAATAGATGTATTCGAGCCCAAGCAAGGGGATACCGTAGAGAAGCAAACGAAATTCGCCTCTGGGTGGTCTTCCTTATTCCTTACCATACGGCGGTACGGTACCGGCGACCGTAGCTTGCAGTATTGTACGGTAGCCAGTCTACAATAGTACGGTTGTAGCTTTCATCCTTGCTTTGGTCGAGCGAAGGCCCTTAAATCTTTTTTGATGCGCGAGGATGGCCGCAGCCAAAGGATCCGACTGTTGAGCCTGCCAAATTTGCGAAAAAAAAGCATCCTCCAACCAACACGGCACGACAACTGATCACTACAAGAGCGAAGTACGGTTCCACAAGCATAAGCATTCACACCCGACATTAGCATCAGTACCAGTAGCAGTGGCACGAGCCAAGCCATCAACCACAATGAACGATCGATTGGGAGACCTAGGCGCTTTTGCAGGCGATGAAGATGATGACGATGCTCAGTTCGATGATGAAGCTGGAGGCGACATAGAGATGCAAAAGCCACAGCAGCCAAATTACATGGATCATTTTTTCAGTGAAGTGGACAAAATCAAGGAAGATATCGAGCATGTTAAGAAAGCCACGAGAAAGATTGGTGATATCAATGAAGAGGCTCTACAGGCGACTACCACAGATAAAGAAAACGAACTGAGTAGCAAGCTGAAGCCTCTGATTGACGGTACCAATAACAGAGCGAAACGCACCAAAACCATGCTGGGCCTCTTGAAAGAGGACACCAAGAAGTTGGATTCAGAGGGTAAAATCAATTCTAGCGATTTGCGGTGAGCTGAGTCTTGAGAGATGACGTTGTTTGCTAGGATGCTTTGATGCCTGCTTTCTGATTTTGGATTGTTTGTGCCATCCATTGCTTTGTAAAAGTGTTCGAGACAATCTCTGCAACACGCTCACCAGGAAGTTCATTGATGAGATGAAAGCGTATCAAAATGCCCAACAAAAGTATAAAACTGATATCAAGAAGAAAGTGGCTCGGCAGGTGCAAATCGTCAAACCAGATGCCACTGATGAGGATATTGATGCTGTGATGAGGAGTGAGGGCGGCCGAGACGCGCTATATCGTGAGCAGATTCTTGCTGGTGGAGTAAACGACCAGATCAAGTAAGTTTCGTCATGCTTTTGCAACTGTTGTCAACGACACAGTCCTTTGTGTTTTCTGTTTCATGCATATTCTCTGACATTCTTTTTTCTAAAGGACAACATATGCCAAAGTTGCTGGAAAGTATCAAGATGTTCTTACACTGGAATCCAGCGTGGCAGAGCTGCATCAGATGTTTCTGGATTTTGCATTGCTCACGGAGCAACAGGGAGAACTTCTGGATCAGATTGAATTCCAAGTCAAACAGGCTGGTGATTATGTAGAAGATGCGAATGTGGATGTTTATGAATCCATCCAATACCAAAGCAGCATTCGGAAGAAGCAATGGTAAGTTTGACGAGTGCTTGACATATGAGTGTTCCATGGCTATGTGTTGGAGGGCTCAAACAAACTTTTGTGCTCTCGTAGCTGGATAATGGCCATTGTTATTGTCTGTATTATTGTACTCCTTTTCGCAACTGGTATCATTCCGTAGGCCTCTTTCTTCAACATCAAATGAGAGTTATCGTCTAATCAATTTTAAAACTCCTGCAATTCCTCCACTACGGTAGAATGCATGTCATTTTTGTCTTTCACTTCTTCTCTCAAGTGTGCTTTGGCTCTGGTTGATTTCGAGCATCACACTCTTTATTTGGCTTCGATGTATCCCTGTAGGATAGAGATAGGGGAGAGATTTCGCCGCCACGGCTGAGGCACACCCTGTCGAGATGCAACATCAACAGTGAGCCAAAATGGTGCTCGTTGCTCACAATAGCCTGGTGGTGGCACCCGTTTTGTGCATTGGTGTAGCAATGCGTTTTTCCTGCACGCCACGGATCGTTGCTCGACTCAACTCGACCCGGACCGCGTGCATTGCCACGAATGCTGCGGTCGTCGCATTGGAAGCCAACTAGCTAGAGTGGTACCTAGCTAGCTAGCTAGGAGACGGTTAAAATTGGATTAATCATTTTTCTGCCATTCCAAGTTTAAAAGTGGTCTACTCTACTAGCTAGCTAGTAGCTAGCTACAGTCCGCTGAAGCTGACTAAAGCTCTAGCTAGCTAGTCTAGTTTACTCGCCCGTCGCAAGATGGTAGTAAATGCCGTGAGAGTGTGGGGAGCAAAAAAGGGGGAGGCAGACTCAATTCATACGTTAAACCTTGTGATCACTACGACATCCGGTCACACTGGTCTTCATTATCTTCCGTCATCCTAGTGTTATATCCGATTAAGTTTTCCTTGTTTAAAGCATTATCTAAGGGGGTATACCAACGGTCGCAAATCGGCCCCCTTTTCCTCAACAAAATTTTTATTTCAGCCATTCTTCACCTCCACAATCCACAATCCCCACCAACCACTCAACTCCACCAGGGGTCACCCACAGGCTCCCCAACCCATACATTAGAGCGTCAAGGACGACGACCACCCTATAGAGCAGGGATAATCAATCCACCGGAGCGGAGCAATGTCGAGCTCGGTCCACAATTCCAAATCTGCTGGTGCCGGCGACTTAAACAACAGCACCAACGACGATGGCAACAACAGCAGCAGCAACAACAACAAGGAGAGAGGTGGGGATGGCGAGTCTTCATCATCAGTTGGGATGAGCCTCACAAGCGATGAGGTCAACTATCTTGTGTTTCGGTAGGATCCAATAGTGTGATACGGTGTTTGTCTATTGAGTGTGTGGTTACCCAGAGGCCTCGTTATCTTTGGTGATTGCTCACTTTTCAATGTTCGTCCATCTCTACAATCGTTCCCTTGCCGCACCGATTCTCTGGATTGCTGTCTCTGCTCCTTCGCTCGCCTTTCTCGTCTCTTTATCTAGGTACTTGCAAGAATCGGGGTTCGTCCATTCTGCGTTCACGTTCGTCTACGAAAGCATGTTGGGGAAAACAAACATCCGCAATGGCGATCGCTCAATACCGCCCGGTGCTCTCATTAGTTTTCTCCAAAAGGGGCTACAGTATGTTGGAATTGAGGAGAATCTTCGAAAGGAGAGCAAGAAGAGTCAAAAGAGTAACAAGACCGAAGTGGGGCCAGGAGATGAGACAGACTTCTCCCTGTTATCACCGCCAGTTGTCGCCGCACTGACTCGCACCGACCCACCCATACATCTGACACTCCCTCCTGCCGCTGCTGCTGCGGCGGTCAAGTCGAGACTAGAAACAGTGGCGAAGCTGCAGGCAACAAGGATGATACGTGAACGGGCAGAAACGGCGTCAGCACCATCAGATCGCCCGTCTTTGGGCTCGAGTGGATCAGCACGAGCCGAAAAGGAATTGGTACCGCAACAGCAACAACAACAACAATCTCTCGAACAACAATCACATACTGGAACAAAATCTACTTCAACTGACTCTGAGGGAGCTAATACAGCACGATCAGCAGCACATTTGGATTCACAGCCACAATCATCACCACAGGAGGAGAAACAACAGCAACAGAACTCGGATTCAGGTAAGGCCGCCGTGCAATCATCAGCAAGTCAATTACAAGAAGAGCAGCAAAGATCACAGGAACAGCAACAACAACCGCATCCTTCAGACGACACCCGATCAGAAAGTCCTCGTAATGATCCTGCAGATACGGCAGGATTGCCAGAACTCTCTGGTTCATCAATCGCATCCAACAATGCCGCTAAGCGAGGCAATGGCGATAAACGAACTCTCAAGAAAAACAAACCGAGTAAGAAGATACAGCAGCAAGCTCTCTCCGCTGCTGGCAACAAAGTGCTTCACATGGAATCGCCAACTCCAGGATTCGCAACGTTTGAAGAGGCGGTCGCGCAATTGGAGGCCAAGAATGCATCATCCGCTCCTCAACCAATGGATATAGAAGTCAGCAATAACAGCAACAACTCTCGAAGCCTGACAGATGCCGAATCTTCAATGTCCTCCTCACGGCCACAAGCAGACTCGACAAAACTTACTTCTGAAATTGGCCTCAATGGCCAGCGTCCGTATCCGCGCAACGGTTCCAGAACAAGTGTGCCGTCAATGCCGGGAAACGGAAACTTAGCCTTAATGCCGTCAGACGGACTCATGTCTCACCCACCAAAGAAACCCCAACAAGAAGATCTTGATCAAACAATGTCTGAATCAGAAACTCTCGCACAACCTCCTCAAGAGAACAGAAGTACAAGTGAAAGAGACGTAGAGCAGGAAGACCAATTAACAAATGCATCCAATGACGAAATTCTGGAACTACGAATGCACTCCTCCGAAGTATTCATGTGTGCCTGGAATCCAGTCTTCACAAATTTCATCGCAACAGGGAGCGGAGATGCATCGGCTAGAATATGGCAAATGGGCGGAGCAGATGCTGCTGCAGGACTCGGTCCAGTCCGGCTTCTCCCGCACGGGGAAGATCCACGCGACCGAAAGAATAAAGATGTCACAACCCTGGAATGGTCTTCCGATGGAAAGCTGCTGGCCACGGGGAGCTATGACGGGGTTGCCAGAGTGTGGAGTCGCAGCGGTGCTCTGCTACACACGCTTCGAGGACACAAAGGACCAATCTTCTCGCTGAAGTGGAACAAACGGGGGAACTATCTTTTATCGGGGAGTTACGACAAGACAACTATTGTATGGGATGTCTCTGGCAACACTGGCTTTGTGGAGCAACAATTCAACGACCACCAGGCGCCAGCTCTTGACGTGGATTGGAGAGACGACACAACATTTGCTTCTTGTTCCACGGACAAGACTGTGAATATATGCAAAGTTGGGGTTTCAGCCCCTCTGAAAACGTACTCGGGGCATACCGACGAAGTCAATGCTGTCAAATGGGATCCTTCGGGGGACCTCCTAGCAAGCTGCTCCGACGACTGTACTGCGAAGGTGTGGGATGTATCAGGTGATCGTTCTGCCCCTCTCCAGGATTTCAAGAGCCACCGACAAGAGATTTACACTGTCAAATGGTACGTATTTCGTTGACTTGTCGACTCTCAGGGCGACTTGACTGCACGTATTTTCTGCTGACTTACGCTTGCTTCGCTTGGCAGGAGTCCTACTGGTCCTGGATCTCAAAATCCTCAGAAGAAATGCATTCTAGCTACAGCATCATTCGATGGATCAGTTCGACTATGGAATGTACAAGACGGGTCTTGCATTCGAGTGTTCTCTAGACATCGCGACTCGGTCTACTCTGTCGCCTTCTCGCCGTCTGGAAGTTTTCTCGCTAGTGGCTCTTTGGCTGGTCAAATGTACATCTGGAATGTGGATGAGGGACGACCAGTTAAGAGCTACAAGGGTAAGGGGGACATTTTTGAAGTTGCCTGGAACAAAGAGGAAACACGGGTTGCTGCCTGCTTTTCGTCGAACATTGTTGCGATTCTAGATTTTAAGATTCGGCCATAAGCGTGACTTCTTCTACATCCGACATGTATCTATTGTGTATTTCCTGTTTTGCAATGCTCAGTGTCGGCTCCTGCAACATCCTACTCTAGCAAGCTGCCCGAAAGCCAATGATCTACCTATCAATAGCTACAACCGTAGAGAAAAGGTTAGTCTACGGCACGACGAAGCTGAATATTTATTGTGACTGGGCAGCCAAAGAGGAGAACAGTAACCCGAGGAGCCTACCGGAACTGGCTAAGCTATAGCGAGCAGCCACGGACTTTTTGCCAATGGCCACATTGGCAGCTGGCATGCATCACAGGACCGTACGTACCGTTAGGCATACTATTGCAACGTTGCAACTGCTGGCAGTGGTATCTTTGGTGCAGATGCCATGTTTCTTCTTACAATAGTTACATTAGGTCTTCGATGACCGGGAAGCCGAGAACACAAGATCCATAATATCTTGCTGGGATTAGTTAGATGCATTCAAAGGTGAAGTATCTTGAGCGCTAACTCTAATCAAGATAAAAGACATGAAGCCGGTCTTTTCCTCCTGACGCGAGAGAGAGATGCCTCTCTCCTCACAAAAGCTTTGCTTTCTACAGTTCTCAAGATCATCAACACAATACCAAATTCATCCGATAATGAGACGAAGAAGCTTTCTATCCGTGGCTCTTGTAGTATGTGGGCTTGTGCCTGGAATTCAAGAGGTATCCTGCCAGTTTTGGTCTCGAGGCGCAAAGGATGTTGAGAAAGGAGACGCTGAAGGCGGCAGCCAAAAAGGCGTGAAAGGCGAGGGTAAACCCAAGTCGAGCTCGCGAGATCATCCCGAGGTCAAACTTTCCAATGGCAACATGATGCCACTTGTTGGCTTGGGGGTAGGAAACTTACAGCATTATATGGTGCCACTCATGGTAGCAGGTGCAATACAGGACGACAAGAAAACTCGACTATTCGACACATCACATATTAGTGACAATGAGCACTTGGTAGCAGAGGGTATCAACCAAGGCATCGAAAGGGTATTAGGCCAAGACCGAATAGTGACAATACATGTTGTCACTAAGGTCTGGTATACCTATTTAGGATATGAACGAACAAAAATCTCAATCCGAGAATCCTTCGAAAGTCTGAAGGAAGCCATGGATAATCCTCGAGTTGACGTGAAAGTCCACATTCTGTTGCACTGGCCTCGATGTTACGAGAATATATCTTGGATGAGCTGCTCAGAAGATGAAACTCGAATGCCAGATCATGTCCGAAGTGCAGGACCTCCCCCTCATGAAGACAAGGACAACGCATGGAAAGGGAGCTGGAAAGCATTGGAAGAAGCATATCTTTCAGATGAATATTCCATCGAGAGCATTGGTGTCGCCAATTTTCACTTGAAAGACATGAAGGAAATCAAGGAATCTGCGACAGTGCAACCTCACATATTGCAGATCAATGTTTGGTCACTTCTCTACGATCCCCTGCTGATGGACTACTGCCACAAACACGGGGTTCATGTCCAGGTTTATAACGTCCTCAATGGAATTCTCACAGATCCAGAAAGGGCTCCCAATGCATATCATCATTTGCAAAAAATAGCATCTGACTTTTCAGAGGAAAACATCGAAGAAATCACCCCTGCTCAAGTTGTGCTGGCCTGGCTGGTGCAGCATGGGGTTTCCATCGTCCCACGAACGTCACGCCTCAGTCGATTGCAAGAAAATTCAGCACTAGCTCTTTCATCTGTCCCGGCACTTTCAGATTCACAAGTAGAACTTGTGGCTCATTCAGTGGAAGCCTTTTTGAGTGGAGATGATCTGGAAGAAGATATCCACGTCAAAGTGACGTTTCACGCCACAACAAAAGACACCTTTTTGTACTGGAATCGACATGATGGTGGGGAAGTCAGGGTTGCATTCATCAAACAGGGAGAAAGCTTCAATGAGATGACATACCCAAATCATAGTTTCAGACTGTATGATGCTCGAAACAAGGACCACTTTATAGAATACAGGGTTGCTGCCAAATTTGGAGAGCACGAACATGTGCATGCCGAGCTGTAAAGCCAAAAATTATAAACTAAGTAAAATTACAAGTGTGTATACTACTACACTTGAAGGAAGTTCTCCGTCCTCCTTTGTGCCGAAATGGTCCTTGCCAGTCCCTCAAAGCTTGCTTCCAAAACCGGGGATCCCAATCCAAGGTACAGACTGATGGAATCCTTGAATCATACCGGCACCGTCGCTTCAGACTCTAGAGGATGCTAGAAAAAGGGACCACAATTCCAAAGAATTCAGGGGTGCTGTCAAACTTGGAGAGCTCAAGCATTTGCTCGCCCAGCTGAGAAACCACAAACATAAAACTAAGTCTAATTACAAGAGTTTATACAAATACGCTTGCACGGTGTTCTCCGCCGACATCTTTTAAGCTTGTCTGCGCCTCACTACAACCAGCTCTATGACCAGAGGTGGCCACGACATTTGGTGTTGGGTACCTGCCAACCTTTTTGCATACCTACACAGGTCAGAGACTGGCTGGGTGCACTGTGTGGTGACCTCTAGTTAGCTAGTTGGTGAGCCTGTTCCGCCTTACCTCGAACTACGCTCGGTACTCAGTGAAAGGATGCATGCCAGAAATCTCAATGGCCTTCTTGCCAGGTGGGTACAGTATCGATAGTCAAAGTCAAATGCCACCAGTGAGCTTTTTCTGCGTATTATTTGAGCTCTGTTTTGCTGCCATGTTGCAGCTTCAGCTTCTTGAACCAAAAAGGCGAGCAACGGGCAGGTGGTTCCAACCTTTGTGCATCTAGACCTGAAGCATTTTAACAGCTCTGATAGCTTTTGTAGTTTTCAATGGAAAGGTGGGGGGTGACATCTTGCGAAGGTGGCAGAGTGGTTTAGATTTTAGTACAGCGGTAACCCACACTGCAAAAATTTCTTGTTTCACCTCGTGCACCTCTACAGGCTCAATTTCCTCGATCTGACGACCTTCGACCATGACAACCATCTCTGAAACTCTCGCGCTTCGTGGAACCTTGAAAGGCCACGGTGACTGGGTCACCTCCCTAGCCACAACTCCCGAAGACCCCAATCTCCTCCTTTCTTCTTCGAGAGACAAATCTGTGATTGTCTGGAGTTTGACTCACTCCAGTACAGGAGATGACGACTCCTATGGATATGCTCGTCGCGGACTCAGGGGACACTCCCATTTCGTTTCCGACGTTGTGATCTCCTCTGATGGAGCTTTTGCTCTGTCTGCGAGTTGGGACTCTGAGCTTCGTCTTTGGGACATCAACAGTGTGAGTGTCTTAAAGAGTTTTCGTTTTCCAATGTTGTCATAAAGTACGAGTATACTGATTGTCACCACTCCTTTTTTTAAATACAGGGCAAAACCACCCGTCGTTTTGTTGGCCATGAAAAGGATGTGCTTTCTGTTGCCTTTTCCGTCGACAACCGTCAGATTGTCTCGGGATCCCGTGACGCCACCATTCGTCTTTGGAACACTCTGGGAGAGTGCAAGTACACTATCAGTGGTGACTCTGAAGGACACTCTGAATGGGTATCTTGCGTTCGTTTCTCTCCTTCCCAATCTGTTCCTCTGATTGTTTCTTGCGGATGGGATCGTTTGGTCAAGGTCTTCAACTTGTCCAATTGCAAGCTCCGCAATGATCTTGTTGGACATACTGGATACCTCAACACTGTGTGCGTGTCTCCTGATGGTTCCTTGGCTGCCAGTGGTGGAAAGGACAACACTGCAATGTTGTGGGATTTGAACGAAGGAAAGCGTCTTTACTCTTTGGATGCCGGCGAGATTATCAATGGTTTGTGCTTCTCTCCCAACCGCTACTGGCTTTGTGCTGCTACCGATGATTCCATCAAGATCTGGGATCTTGAGTCCAAGATTGTGGTTGACACCCTTCGCCCCGAGGAATCTGAATCTGGAAAGACTCCCCAGTGCTTGTGCCTCGCTTGGTCTGCTGATGGATCTACTCTCTTCGCTGGTTTCACCGACAATTTGATCCGTGTGTACGCTGTCACTGCTCTCTAACTTTATAAATAGTACCGGTAGTGTAAAAAAAGGTTATCATACTGATAGATGTTTCGTAGATTTGCTACACTGTACCGGTATATGGAAGTGGATAGTCGTACCATGGTAATAAGCTTTTTGTGAAGCTTTGCTAGCTAGCAACACATGCATCTCAGGGAAACTACATGTACCGGTACCGGTATCAGTAGTCTAGCTAGAAGTTTTTACGGTAAAATTTAACTTTAACCCCATACACTGTAGTTACCTCAACTACCCATCTGAAGCGTTCTCACAGCCACCGACACGATACTAGCTAGTACATGTACCGGTAGATAGACGCATGTTCGGCGGTCGTTTTCACTACGAACGACGGCTTCGATTGATGGAACATAACAATAACAATGTCATGTCCGCTACCAGCACTACTAGTACTCGTAGGAAACGCGAACTGGACTCGTCGGTTCCTGCTATCGCTGCAGACAAGAAAGATAGTTCCAAGAAAACCAGAAGGAACCCTTTTCTGGACTCAGTGAGCGAAAGCAGAGGCCAAGATGATGATGAGGATAATAGGCTAGAACACACGGTGACATTCCTGCATTTTGTAGAATCCCAGCAGCATCTGGAAAAGGTACCACGGCGCGCTCTCCAGTATCTCACAGAGTTTCTGGAGGCACAACAGTACCAATCGCCTGACGAATGCTACCACCAATCTGCCAGAACTGCTGCATCTATCTTGTCCTGGGCTGTCAAGGCTCTATTGGCGACTGCAGAGAAAGAAAATACTCCACAAGTTTTGGATGTGCTTCTATGGAGGTCCTTGGCTGCCTCTCTGCGGATCATGGCGTCCTTATCATCCAGAAACAATCAAAAGACAGGAAACGAAACCATGCTGTTTGTGGTGGAAAACCAGATACTTTCCGGCAATGTCTTGTTGAATCTCATTCCTCAGGCGTCTGCGGTGGGAAACTCTGCAAACACCAAGGCCAGTGCTTATGCAGCAACTTGTCACGGATTGCTCATTCGATTGGACTTTGTACCTTCTTTCGAAATGGTATGCAATTCGTACTTGTCTGGAATTGTCATAGACGATGCCGAAAATGGTGCTGCAGGGAAACTTTGTCAGCCCAGTTCCGAAATTCTTGAAATACTACACATTGCAGCCAAGGCCATCCAGAAATTAAACCCCAAGAAAGCTTTTCAAGTCCTTGCCAAGCAAGAAACACTGTTGCAGTTCACGAGGCTGTATCTGTGCTTGGAAGGAAAGCCAGGGAGAGGAGAGTTGGAAGATAAATGTCAAGACATGATCTTGAACACCATTCTCAGCAGCTTTTTCGATTCGGATCACTGGAATGGTTTCCACGGGCTGGTGGTAAAACTGGGCTGCAAAATTGTGGACCTGGAAACCACGACAGCTGATAAAGAACCCATAACACCATCAACGACACGACAATGTTATCAAGAAAGCCTTCTCCAATCACTTGAAAACATGCTATTGGCACCTTCAACAGAGCAAAACAGTGAACTTGCCACCAGACTATTCCCCCTGATTCTTCAAATCCTATTTGAAAAGCTTTCAGAAGTGGAGAGGAAGAACAAACGACAATACACTTCCTCGAGAAAAAATGACGAAAGTACTTCACTGCAGCTCTTCTTCTTTGTCAACATGACTTCTATTTGTCTTCGAGCCATGTCAAAGACAACAGCCACAGGCACAATAAGGTCACACTGCATGGAGTCACTGGATCAGTGCTTGAAGCTATGGTCACAAAAAGACCCCTTTGTGCTTCCCGATGGACAACGTGGGCGAGAGCGGTATCTTTGCTTGGAATCCATTGCAAGCGTGGTGCTCAAAAACACGTCCTATGAACCAAAATGGGCGGCAATCATCTTGAAAAGTCTTGTGCGTTTGGAACATACTCTTGTCCAAGAAAGTGACAAGTTGGAGGCAATCGTCCATTTTGTTGTCGGGTCCAGCGGTGCCGCTGCACTCAAGCTGTTCGCAACAATACTGGAAACGTTCGGAAGACTGCGGCAATTCCATCGCATTGTTGTGACGCTGCTGCGGGTGGCAACCGCAATAGCAACCCAATCAGATGCTTCAATGCAATTGAAAACCTTTACCGAGATTCTCTCACATAGCGACTCCAAAGATGTCTTCGCTCGCAGTGTTAGGGGGAGCCCAATTGTCGAGGCAAGGAAAATGCTTGAAAGCCTGAACAGCTGGATTGGACTGACGGCAGCATGGAACAACAATACCTCAGACGCAAGACGCATGCTGTTAGAGTTTGGAGTCAGGCAGATTGGCGTTGGGCTTCTTTGCAATGTCAAGGTCGACGAGTCAACGGCTCCGATTATTGCACATTGTTGCGAGAAGCTTACAGCTATTTCTGTGAAGAAGCTATGCAGTAGAAACCATCAAGAGCTTGGAGTTTCGCTTTGTCGCTGGGCAACCAACTCTCAAATGCGGTGTGCATTTTGGCTGGGTCATAAGTACAGCGAAGGCTCTGAATTGGAATCATCCGCGACGAGTTGTATTAGAGACTTAGTGTTGACGGCTGCAATCGCAGATTCTGACCCGGAAGCAATCGATGACATGCTCTATCTGGCATCCTTTCGACTGCGAAGGCTTGATTTCTTGATTAGGAACCGGCATCCACAAGAAGTCGAAACCCTCACGCTTCACTGGCAGTATGACCAAGAAGCTAGGCGGATTGCCATGTTGATGGCTCAATGGGCAGAACGACCGGCACTGCAAGGTTCGGGTTGGCAGGTTGTCGCGAGAGTCCTTACCTCCTGGGTCCCTTACGCCACTGAAAACCAAATTCAACGCTTCCTAGTCTGGATCTTCTCGGCCATTGCTGAAGCTCCTTCAGCACGAAGTGCCACGGCTCTCTCTCTTGTCAACGATCCTTCTTTTTTGGAACTACCTGAATTGTCTCTACTGCTGAAACCCTGTGCGATCGCCACTGTCGCACAGATGCTTGAGGATGTCCCCATCATGAGAACAGCAAGCAACGCTAAGGGGCGCCGCAAGCAACCAGACGACGCTGATAATCGATTTGACTGGCAAGTATCATGCTCCAAAGAACTGGAAAAATTGCTCGCAAAGATCAATCTGAGCGCTGACGGCCTGGGCACAGAAACCAGGCAAGCGAGAACCACGGTGTTGGGGGCTCTACGGGTTGTAAATGTTGTCAACGCCAAGCTGCAGAATCTGCCGCACGCATCTATTCGATACGCGCTAGCAGCTTTGCACCTCGAGGCGGCGTGCCGCGGCCGTCTTGGGGATGAAGGAGCCAAAGCTGTGGACCTTATCAGCTCACTTAGGCTAATGTCCGCGAGGGAGTTTGCCTCCGCTGGACCGGAAGGATTGAAGCTGTTTCCAGCAACGTCGGAAGGGATCCAAAGTCTGCTGGGCGACATTTCAGAGTCGTCAATTCGCGCCCTTGGCGTAATGGACGATGGAACCTGCCGCAGTCGTCTCGTTTCCGCAACGGCAGAGTTGGCAACGTCACTTACGAGATGGGGTCTAAAGCACACGTCCAACAAAATTGCCTGGAAAGGTTTGTATGGTTTTGTCAGAGAGAGGTTCGCCCCTCTAAAGCCAGCCAGCGATGCGGACTCCATTTTAGTCCTGTGCGCTCTGGCCAGATCGGTGCTATCTGCATTCAGTAGCGTCGACGGTCATGATGCGTGGCCAGACCATGAAGCGCTGGAATCCTTGCTACTGCACCTGTTTGATTGGGCAACGTTGTTATCCAGCTACCCTCACCTCAATTCAACCAATTTACTGAGGGACCAGGTCTGTTTGCTGATGTCGACACTCTTCCAGTTTGCCTCCAATACTTCCCAATCCACTGCGTCCCTCACCAACGCGGCAGGGTCCCTCTCGGCGAGGCTCTTTCCACTGGTGCTTCCGACCGATGAAACAGTCCCTACCGGTATGAGTGAATCAGCAATGATCACGGTTGGATGCTTCTCGAATACAAAACCACCTCTCAGACAGCGACACTACCTAATCGACCAACTCCTGCGAGGTGATTTGATAAGCAACGACAAGCTTAAAGTTGCAATTAGCTCGCTGGTTCATGATATGGAAGGGGATTCACTGCATTACGCCATTTCCAACATTCTCAGAAGCGAGCGCAATGGTCTGTTCCATGGCGTACTACTCTTCCCTCTTCTCGTTCAAAGCCTCCAGCAGAGTGAGCAGGTTGAGATCGCACATAGCTTTTCAGACACTGTCAAACACCATTGTTTGGCTGCTTTTTCTCTTTTGGATAACTGGGGCAGACCAGACGAGAGCATTGCTGTTGTCTGTCGTACAATGGTTGATCTCCTACAAGAGAAACGATTTCAGGCAGGGATGAGTGAGAGGGATATTTCGGAGATCATGGCCAGCATCTCGAAGGTTGTTGGTTCTGAGCAACTCCCAAACACCATCTTTGTCTCGTGCTTCCACCTAATGGCGGCTTTGATTCAACTGCTACCCCAAAGAGTGCTCTCCTGCGTTACTTTGCTGGCAACGGTGCTTCAATGCTTATTGTTGCCATTGCTATCCGGCAAACTGGACGAAAGCATGATGAAGAGAGGATGTCAAGATTTCAGCAGACTCTGCGAGTTACTTAGTCCAAACAAGGACGTACTCAAGAAGCATGCGCTAAGTCTGCTGCTCGAGTTGCTACACTACCTTGAGTTGGAGTCCATTGTTTGGAGAAAGGAATGCGTGACGTCTTGCTTGCTGCATATTGTGGGATTGCTTTCCCAGTTTGAGATTGAGCAACTCACAACGCAGACGACTCCGGCGGAAAAGATAATTTTTCGTCCCCTGCATGAAAGCTACCAGAAGAAGCATGCGCATCATGCTAGCTAGACATTGCTTCTAACTGTCTCCTGCTGCAAAACTTGTGTAACAGAAGTCTTGATGTGCTTTGATCTAAACAGATTAGTCGTTCAATAGGTCCTACGGTAAAGTACCTGGTAGCGTGAGCATTGAAGTCAGTATGATCACCTCGCTAGTAAAGGCAATGCCAGAGACTGGGTTGCGCCGCAGGTGATTGTTGTCGACCTTGGCACAGCTCTCGGGCACCACATGTACGTCTAGTGCCCAAGTTGGCAACTGAACCGGAAATGGTAGTGTTCGTGATGGCATCAAGGGAGTGCTGTCCGTGGGAGAACCAGACAACCGAAACTAAAATGTCAGGACCCGGGTTCATAGTGCCGCCAGGAGCAAATCATCCGTTGTTGTTGTTGTTGTGAGTTTGCTGTTCGCTCTCTTTTTTCGTTTTCTTGAGTCGGTCCAGCACTTCGAAGATATCTGCTCGCTTGTCCATGTCATACACCCAGCATCTTTCCATGGTTTCTACTAACTTGCTTTCAATGAAGCTTCGTGTTCGATAACGATTGTCAATGTACGCCACACTCCCGTTGACAACCTGCATTGCGAGAACATCTTCAGTCAGGACAGAAGGAAGCATGAACAAATGGCAGGAAACGCAAAACTTTGGTGCATACCTTCGATGCAACAACCCCATCATCTTCTGTATCATAAAAGATCCACAAGCCTGTTAGGAGCGCATAGATGTTGTTCCCAAAAGACCACACATCATGCTGTTGCGACAACTCCTTTTCAGAGTATTCTTCCGGCGAGCGATACTGGCGGTTTCAACCATACAGAAAAGAGCAAGACTTGCAAAATGAGTACCGGTTGAAACTAGGGTCACCTGCAAACCCCACAACGAATCGAATCCATCGCACTCACATTGCCATACGACTTTCCGTTGTCGTAGTTGCAGTAGCGGCCACTCGTCTCGTTCCAATGGAGCACTCTGGCCCGATTGAAGTCCCCAAGTTTGAGTTTACCTTGATCGTTGCGCAACCATTGACAAAGCTGGATGTCGTCGTGAGCGATGACACCGTCGCGGAAGCCATGTAACTCAGCGATTCCTGCTGCCATTTCCAGCGCTATGTCAAGTTTTTCTGTTACATCATAGTCATTCTGAGTATCCACGTCTTCTGCGTCATTCAAATCGCTCTGGGACATCCAGCCACCGCTGGGTACTACGACTTCTTCTACTTCATGCGGCAAAGGCTCGACCACCACCGACGAACCTTTGCACGAGGAAGGGTGAGTAAGCATTCTTTTGATTAGCATGGAAACAAAAATATCCGATTCCTCACTGCCTTTCCATACGTACCACAGTGTCCAAAAATGTCCACAATGTGAGGAGAACTTGTCAATCGTTCCATAATCAAAGCGTCTGTAGAGGCAAACAGTGAGACTGGTTCCCACAAGGGCCGCCGCAGGAGCAGATGGTGGTCCCAGATGGCATTTTCTACTCACCTCTTCTTGCATTGAACATTGCACGGTAATTCATCTCGTGCTTGCTCAAGCGAGCCACTTTGAGCACAGCAGAAGAATTTACCTGTGGCTGCGTCACAGTGAAAACATCGCGGAAATACCCGTGGCTGATGTAGACACTGTCCCCGGGTTGGCTGTCGCCACTCCTCTGAGCCAATATGGAGTCATAATGACGGGACAAGTCCATCTCATGAAAGGCATTGCAGACTGGAAAATGCAATTTTTCCCAGTTAGGTCTCCGACATTCAGCTTCTTCATCCACCAACTCATCGTCAAACCAATGCCGCTTGGAAATATGTACCTTGTCGTTTGCGTACTCTGTTTTTTTCATCTCGTGATACTGTTTGGCATCATTCGGACGAATGGTTCGTTGAAAATTGTCGCTTTTCAGGGGAAGCACAACCAGACCGCCATAATCTGGAAGTGCGTCTTCTCGGTGTATGCCACCCTGAGGACGTCGTCCATCGCGGGAACCGACAAGCAGACCCCACATATCGTCCTCGGTTGGTATCAAAAGAGGAATGGAACGGGATCGGTCGAGTCCGTAAAGGCCTTTGGAGACAATAAAAAACAAAACCGGAAGGGATATCACGAAAAGAATGGCTTCGCCTGGATGGTCCAACCACCATGGACTGTCACTCGCATTGCCAGTTGTTGCAGATGATCCTGGCGGTGCATGTCGGGGTGGCAGCTCTCCATCCTTGCTTCGACGACGAAATCGTCTATTCATTGCCACTGAAAGCTATTTACGTAATACCGGTAAAGATCCTTCTAGCCAGCTATTAATAGTACTAGTCTAGTATGGTGGTTGATAGAAGACCACTGCCCGCTATCGATCGTTGATCATTGGACCAAGGATCAAGGATCATTGTGGTAAATCTCGTCCCCAACCAACACTAACCCAACGGTCAATCCGGATTGGCGAATCATGCATCGAATTGAGTCGAATCGAATCATTCGAATTGAGTCGAATCGAATCATTCGAATTGAGTCGATTCGAATTCATCACAATCATGCTGTGAAGTCACGAGTCTCAGTGGACTCGACTCGACTCGACCAATGTATCTTTTCCACGCTCCACGCCCCACGCCCTCCTCGCTCCTCCAAATTTCATTCGACAAATTTTACTTTTCATTTCTCTCGAGAAGCCAGGACTTGGAACACAATTCTGTGGAGCAAACCCCCTGTGGGGCCACCGCCAATGCAACACCTCGTTCCGGTAACAATGACACAAGGGAAACTGCAACGACTGGCAACTTCCACAATATTCTTGTTGCTGTGTTGCTTCCTAGATTTCCGAAGCATCCGCACATGGATTGCGGGAACAACAGAGTTTCTCGTGTCGACAACCTCGGCAAAGCGGGGGTACAATGGCACGAAATCGTTTGACGAAGTTTTCACGGCTACAACTGAAGAAATGCCGACATTCGCACCAACAACTGAAGATCCTATGATTCGAAACTGGGGGTGTGAATTCCGCCAAGACGCTCCCTTCATTTTTGTGGTAAGCTTGAAGTAGACAAGATCCGATTCTCGTGCTTCCTTCAACATGACTACAGCATATTGGAAAAGCAGGTGGGGGATCTGTTCATGCTAGAATAGCAGCTAGTGCACTCAACTACAAGCGGTCTCGCTGGAAAAACTCCCGCTCAGACAAAACGTACTACTATCCGATGATGGTCCAGCAAAACACAACTCGTGCCTCCATGATAGCAACAACCAACAATACCACCATTACAAGGGGTGTTTTTGTGAACAGCAAATTTCCCAACTTCCGTCCAATGTATCCTTCGGAAAGGACGATAAGCCGTGACCAAAGGGCACAAGCCGACCTGCAGTGGAAGTCCTATGAAGGAACGTTGCCGGGCAAAGCGTCCACGCCCCTGGGCCAAGCCATTGCTTGCCCCATTGTGGATCACCCCTATCAGGATGTTTGTCACCTTACCACCGCCCATGGATGTAGCATTGTCTACGCGGGACACAACTTCCTGGGCGCTGCTGACATGACAGAATTGCTCGATATGGACACACAGAAGATATACCAGTCTCTCATTGGTAGTCTACAGTGGGCGATTCAAATCGAAAGATTCGATATTGCCACAGCCACCATGACAATGTCCAGATTCCGAGTGGCGCCAAGAATGGGTCACCTGGAACGATTAAAGAGAATCTGTGGATACCTTTCCAAGGCGCCAAGAATGGGTCACCTGGAACGATTAAAGAGAATCTGTGGATACCTTTCCAAGATGCGACACGGCATCATCCGTATTCGAAAGGAAGAACCAGATTACTCCGCAATCCCCAAGAAGGAATACGAATGGGAATTCTCGTGCTACCATGGTGCCAAAGAAGTTCAACCGCACAACGCCCCAGTACCTCTCACCACATATGTGGATGCGAACCTCTACCACGATCTCATCAGTGGATGGTCTGTTACCAGAGTTCTATATCTAGCAAACAAAACTCCCATTGTGCACTACGCTAAAAGCTAGTGTAAAGATCTTTCGAGCGTTTTGAGTTTGAGAGAATGAAAGTTATGAGAGAGATTACTACGGATTCGGATTGAATTGACCGCAAAGCCCTCCTCTCAAAACTTCGAGGGAACCGCCCTTAAATATTTCGAGGATGCCTCGAAAATTTGAGGCTCTGCTCAGGAATTCGAGCCTCTGCTCAGGAATTCGATGTGCTTTTACTTTTAAAAAGGCAAGGTACCTCAAAAAAACGAGCCGATTGCAAACAGTTCGGATTTGTCACTCTGTACAAATTGTACCAGAGCTCTACAGGGCAACTCGAATTTCTGAGATGAGCCTCGAATTTTTGAGAGAAGCCCTTGCGGTCAATTCTTCCCGAATCCGTAGTAGAAAGCTACGAAAACTAATCCATGAGAGAGATCGTTGTGAAGCTCATTGAAGTTGCTTGGGCCCTAGGGCTCGATTCGTACCAGCGTTGACAAAGGTCCTCCGGACCAGATAGGTAGTCTGCCTAAAACTAGTACTTTTTATATACAGGAACTCAAACCCTATCTAGAATCGAGTCGCGAATAAGGCTAAGAGCCGTGTATTGCATTTGCCCCCTGACAAGGGTCACAGAAGGCACGACATTAGTCGAACAAGGAGAACATATGCATGAATTAAAGTGCAGGGCACTCTCTGGAGATTGGATGTAGACATGTGCGTCGGACGATGGCAATCCTACAAGGGGATCAGGCCTTGTATGGGTGTAAATACCTTATGTTCCAAGTCTGGTAGACTGTGCCGCCATTAGCGGAAGCATGTCGGAGCCGTACAGTGCCATTGTCATTGACTTGGTCTATGTTGTAAGGACCTTTGTACTTTGGCTGACCGTACTTGCGGTGCTGATACTGGTGAATCATCACAGTATCGTTGACATTGTATTGATGAGGGACACGCGTCGCGTTTTCCCTACCATTGTTTTTCTGGATAAGTCGTTGGCGATGTTCCTTGATGTATTTCCAGTTTGCTTCGAAACGGACGTTGTGAATCGCATCACGATTGAACATGAGCTGTGCAGGCGTTGCACGCAAGGTGGTATGAATCGTGGCATTCATTGCGAACCAAACCGCCGTGAGGACTCCATCCCAGGATCCATTCACGAGGTCGTCTTGACACTTGATATTTGAACAGCTATCAAGTTACGAATGGTCTGATGAGGACGCTCGACCATTGAGTTGGCTTGAGGGTTACATGTGGTAACGAATGCAATACACGGCTCTTAGCCTTATTCGCGACTCGATCCTAGATAGGGTTTGAGTTCGACTCATGACTGAGTCTCTCGTGAATAGTCATTTGAGAGACAGGTTCTCATGACGCTCTGGTCATACTAGGTTGATGATGAAACTCGCTCTAGATATTTAGCCAGCGTGGAGTACTTCCACGCTACTAGATCCATGCTAGACAAAACCTTCCACGCGTTCCGTTTTAGGATCGTGGAGATACGTAGGATTACTACCGCAACCTACTCTATCACACTTTATGTCTCCCGCGGGAGGCCAGATCTACGATCCCTTTGATGATGATCTCTCTCGTTGATTAGTTTTCATAGCTTTCTAATCTCTCTCATAACTTTCATTCTCTCAAACTCAAAACACTCGAAAGATCTTTACACTAGCTTTTAGCGTAGTGCATTTTGTTAACAAACACAATAGCTTTCAGCTACCCTCAACCTATTCCTTCACCATGAAGATGGCTCAAGGAAAGGATGCGTTCCGCAACTTCGAAAAAGTTGCGTGACAAACCCATTCTTCCTCTCGTCGACAATGACGAAGAAAACGAGATCGACGATACTCGTGCAACCACTTGCAAACTTCGCAACCATGTGCCAAGCGCAAATCAGAAGACTCTGACAATGAGGACAACTCCTATCATTCAATCACTTGGATGAGAAATCTCTATCTGAGGATTAGGCCAGGATGATGACTCAACGGAACCATGTTCCGATTCTCATACCAAGTGATGAAGATATCTCACTAACTAGTAAACAAGAATTGTTTGCAACTGATGAACCATCTTCTCCTTTC